TAAATATTTTACAGAGAAATAGTAACTTTATTTAGATTCAACTTATATTAAATGTTACTGTTGCCAATACAATGGATTTTAAACTGCCAAAAGTAGAGATTTTAAAAACATGAATACTGTACATAACAGTTCAGAAAATGTAAATGTGCCTTTGGACAGCTAAGCAGTGCTAATGATTCAACATCATTTATAGATAATAGCTTAAAACTAGTAAAATAAACTTTTCACAACATGTTTTATTAACCTTAAAGATACTACTCGATGTCCATGCACCGATCTACTGGTTTAATCATAACAGTTAATCAAACTAATATTTGAAACAGTGTACGGCACAACCTATATGTTATCATTAAATAAAAGATCTAACTAGCACTGACAAAATATTTTTGAATACATACATTTATCTCAGAGTCTAGTCGGATGTCAGACTTATAATAAAGACAAGAGTGAGAGCAGTGAGTCAGCATCCCATAATAATCATCATCGCTGTCTATAGCAACACCTTTCAGACTGGAAATCCCCACATCAGAGAGATTTACAGATGTTATTTGGCTGGAGAAAAACAGGTCTGAGAAGATTGAAAGCAGAGTGATGTGTTGTGTGTGTGTGCATCTTACAAAAACGCAACACTAATTATGAACCTAATGTTTTTCTAGATATTTAAATCCAATGTCTTACAACTATATTGTGTAATTTAAAAACCCCACAGGTATTTCATAACAGAAATCCTGCTATCCTTGTAATGTATATCAGTCTTTGTTCCAGCACTAACTCATTCACATGTCATATATTGCATGATTTATCCATATCTTAAGTTTAGTAAGGGCACTGTTCATGGTACACCCCTAATTCACCAGGGTGTCTCCCTCCCCTCCTGCTAATGCATGCTGGGAAAGGCCACATTATGTGAGCTTATTCAGAAAGAAACAGGTAATAAAACTAAGATGTCGTATGCTACTTATATTATTAGTTAATTGGGAATTTATGGAGAAGGTCTCTTCGAACAGTCCCACATAAGTTATGACATAGCGCAAAGAGGTACATGCTTTACAGTGATCAATTACCTTTGTCTTCTATATATATATCTAGATAATATAGACTGAAGAGTAATGCTTACGCCTTATCCCATTCTAGGAAAACAACTATCTTTACCTAACATTTAAACTATTTTCAAATGGATAGACTGTATTAAGATCTGGTAGAGTTGTACGTTAACATTAAATGTAAAGGCACACAGCTGGTCCCTCCTACACTGGTGAAATAACAGTGACTAGGAATAGCATCCTATGCAGACAGCCTGTCATTATAAAGCTGGCACACTCTCCTGCCCTCCTTGTACATCTTTCTGCTAGAACAGTATGCCTTGGAGGAAGGACGCACACCCACCAACCACTAAATCATCACCTATGAAAATAAGGAAGAGCTATCTTCAACTCACTTTGTTCCTTTAAGTCTGCAGTGCCAAAGTGGTTTTGTCTGAGAACGTTTTTTTTTACGAGTTTCCAGTTTGAGGGGATGTCATGGTTTAGAACCGAGGCCTCAGACGTTTTTTATGTGTATCATAGCTTTGACTTATGTGTGTTTTAATTTTAACACCACAGTCTGGGTCTTATATGCAAATTATGTCATTTAGCTTTGGTTAAGGCCATTAAGAGACTGATAGTGTACAGTCACAGTTGCCTAAAGAAAGGATACCTGAACCATTTAACAGTTTTAACAAGTGGCTCTAAAAAGGACTTTTTGTGTGGAATTCAAACCAGCTTTCACACGAAGAAGTCTCTGTGAAAATAAAAGTACTTTTTCTAATTCATTTAAATTCATTGAAACCATCAGCTGTTTATAGTAGTTAAACTGAATTAGATTAATGACATGCTAACCAACTTTAAGACAAAACCAAGCCATTTTCAGATGGTGGAGATTTTGCCCTGAACTCAGTGTCCCAGGCAGCCTGTTCTCCCTGGCGGAGGTCCACCTCCAACGTAGCCATAATACATTACACATGGATACATTTATGGTTGAGCTATGGCTGTGGTTTTTCTCAATCTTGGAAAAGGAGGCAGAATTATAATGCCAAATGAGAGTAAGTTCTGCCTGGGAGACTTAACTGATGGCAAAAAAATGCTATGCAAGATCAGCAGCTACAATTAATTTTGAAGGGGAAAGTCAAATATAAAATAAATATGTACACAACATGATCAAACTGGACACTACCTTGGACAACAGGGTCTGTGCTAAAAGCAAGAGAAGAGTATTGACGTAAATCACCAGAGCCACAAGGGCCCATGGGAAAATGATGACAAAGCAAAGGAAAAATAAAGAGGGACATGGTTAAAGCTGCCAGACTGGGTCACATATGACCAACAGAAGCCTGAAATACCACACACTTCCATACAGTAGGAATGAGCTGTCAAACGCCTGCTCCCCCGCCACACATAGACACTCTATTCAGCAGAGAGAACCAGAGCAGGGTTAAGTTATGTTTGGCCAACTGAGACAGACTGCCCTTTGAGGAGGGCTCAGCTTTGAAATTAGGCTGAGGAACATCCATGTCAAGACAATATTGCCCTCTGATTTTCTCCTCCTTTGAACAAAACTCTGCTTTCATGGCTTTTGGGGCCTTCTGCTCTCTGGGTGCTTCATGCATCCCTCCTCCTTTTCTCTAGTCCTCATTCTCCCAGCGAACACAGAATAAACATGAAAGATCCTGACCACTTTCTTCTCTAAATCAGTCTTTCACTGGCAGGGTGGGGCGCAGCTATAGTTTACACTAACATCTGGGCTACTGCACGCACCGCACTGCGCGCACAGGAACGCGCACACAGACGCACCGCGCGCAGTGGTTCAGCCCGTCTAGCCAATGCGCATTAACTATTGTGCAAAACGCGGCACGTGAGTGTATTTGTGTCACTCTGATATTATCACAAGGTCCGATGATTTAAGTATACAAGCAATAAGCAAACGAGCACAGCGCCTCTAGAGGCATCCTTTAAGATGGGAAATACAACCTGCACAAGGTGTTGGACACAGAGCCACATTCACATGTATGTGGCATACATTTCCACACCCAGAACTGGGAAAAACATCCATAGCTCACAGACGCATATGCACAAACAGAACTGTACAAAGCGCACATAGACACGGAGACACTGGACGCTTTCACTCCCAAAGCCCTGTGACCGAGGTGCTCCGCCGCATAATAACCTATTCATAAAAAGCAAAAATGTCTCAGACTTCCGCCTCCAAAATACACACGGGAGACGACGGGAAGGTGCAATCGCCTCTCGCAATCTGAAATTGGAAACGGGGCCAAAGAATACACTGGAGGGGGGCAATTTATGTTACAAAAGCCCCCTTGGTCCGTAAGCTGTCCCCGCAAGCTCTCCACAAGAGGAATAAAGAGCCATTGATCCATCTGTCCACTGAAACTTCTGAAGTAAATTTACTTCTCAAAACCTAAACGGTTAAACCTGACATCATGTTTCTATCAGCGAAAGCAGTCATCCGTTGCTTCTACTTAACCAGCTATTATCATATAACAAGTGTTAAAATCGTTCAGTTCCCCTTCTGTAAGATATTCAAAAGAGTCATAATTAATAAAAGGTTAACAAAAACGTCACACCTTATAATCAAACACGAAATGTTCACATATCTGTGGCTGCACCTATGAATGTACTAATGATCATTATTTAATATTCATTGACATGGTGTGGCATTGCGTTTTATAAGCCTCCTGTCAGATCTGAACTGATCTGGACTCAGGTGAATCAATGGATTCTCTGTGGTAAAAATAACTAAAGACAACTAGAGGTCCGTCAGGGAACTGCAGCACATACAGATCATTCCTTAAAGTCATACTCGGTATGACTCGAATACAAACATAACATGTTGTTCTACTAGGTAGGAGAACAACTTAAAATCAACTTTCCATGGGCTTATTGAGCCATCCTAAACTTGGTGAAGAAATCCCTCCTCCCTGCAGCAGAGGCAGTGATGGATGGACTGGTGCACAGGGTGAGCTGGTAAACACTGCCATCCTCACACAGTGCTGCCGTGGACCCGTTTACACTCAGTTGCAAAACACATATTATTTCATTACGGGATATTCAATTCGACCGAACTTCTAATAATGCAACCGAAGCAGATATTCACAGTGTGGTGTAAAATAAGCTGTCATTTCAAAACTGAAAGGGATTCTTAGTAGTGAGTTTTTAGTTTAAGATAAATGGGAAAAGTCAACAAATGACAGAAAAAGCACCTGGATACCCAAACAAATCAGCTGAGGGCACAATCGATGACACCTGTCAGCAAGCTCTGGGCACGCAGAAAGGGGAGACGCCCGAGGAAATGATTTCCAAATAAAAAACTTAATTCAAACCATAATTACGCACTTACGTTTTCCTACAGAGAAACGCAATTAACATGCTTTTATAACGACCCTACTCCGTCACCATTCCCTAAAAGAAAAGCTTAATTTGCAATAGCAACATATTTTCATATAACTATTTTTCTTCGTTTGTTTTAATGGGATAGACGCAGTGCCCATTGGCCCATTATTGGACTCTTAGATGTGCCTCGCATCACTTATTCTTATGTCTCAACTAATTTCACTCAATTTCCAAATGGTCGTTAGCATGGTCCATTCATAAAAACCTTTATGAACCTGTGAAGAAAACAAGTCACACTTCTTTAGGAAGTTGATTGAGTGCCAACATGAAAAATAAATAAACTTCTTAACATGCAAGTGCATGCAAAATATATCTGAAATACTGTGGGCCATTGCTTCTGGGCCAATGTTTACCACAGTTCTCGGGGAAAATCTAAAGAAACAGCTCAGGTGCGCAAATAGCCAATAATGGATGAGGTATTACGCAAGGTAAATCCAAGTAGACAGCGAATAATGACAAGGTTTGGAACATTAAACAACATTATAAGTCACCAAATAATTTAAGCAAGTCTTTAAGAACACATTATAAACATCTTTCTAATAGAAACTGTCTTACCTGCACGAGCCACGGTCGTTTGGCATACGACGAGCACCACGGTTACCAAGGCAAAGGATGAGAAGTCCATGCGCCATGGTCTCCGTTTCTTCCGGAAGGGACAATCTCCAGTATCCATAGTGTTGCAGTAGTTTGCCCGCTTGGTTGAGCTGTAAATGTAGGATATGGTGGAAGTTATCCTCTCACAGAAAACCAGCCGACGAGAGGGACCCGACTGAACCTTCTGCCAGGCGACAGACAAAAAGGCACGCCTCTGGAGACGTCGCTGCCTCTCTCCCGGAGACTTTCCTTAATGAGTTACCTATGTCTGACTATCTAAATGCACGAAACCTAAACACTAAATGGGGTTTGGGGTGAAAATATATTTTATTTTTAACGTGTAACCCCTTAGTGCTAAAGCCCCATTGAGTCAGACTGGGTACGAGTACCCAAAGTGGAGAGAGCAGCAGAGAGAGACCTGGAATCACGCTCTCTCTCCCCTTCTCTCTCTTTTCCTTCTTTACTTACACACTTACTCTCACGAAGAGTGAGAACGTGTGTGTGTGTGTGTGTGTGGAGAGAGAGAGTGAATGGCAAAGGAGGAGAGGGAGAGAAAGGGCGTGCGTAATTGCGCATTCGGCATACGTACGTATACGTGCACGGAGGAGCCTCTGAGTGTGAACTGCACGTTTTTAATGATAGGCCTATGCAAATACTTCAACCCCACACTAACAACAATTGCGTCCTTCTTTTAAACTGAGAGTTGGTGGTTTAATGGTAATCATTGGATGTACAGCAGTCAGTCATAACGCTTCTCTGTCTAAATAATCCGAATTCACTAAAAACGGCTTGCAGAACAAAAAATATTTACCTTGTCTATTTCCTTCTTTTGTTTCTTTATAAGTATCTGTGGCATGAAAAGCCAGGTTTTATAAACCATGAAGGGGAGTTCGGGTAGAAAAGACAGGATCGCTCACCTCGCTGAAACAGCAGAGAAGAGTGAGAGTCCGGCCAGCCAATCAGGCTTCTGTCCGCTCTTCTCGCCACGCCCCTTTCATCTAATCTGAGAAGCTCTCATCTCGTCCTGATTGGTCAGTCCCACGTGGCCTTGTTTTGCAGCATCAGCTCAGGTGTGTGTGTGTGTGTGTGTGTGTGTGTGTGTGTGTGTGTGTGTGTGTGTGTGTGTGTGTGTGTGTGTGTGTGTGTGTGTGTGTGTGTGAGAGAGAGAGAGAGAGAGAGAGAGAGAGAGAGATATGAAAGGCTCAAGAAAAACAGACATGAGTAAAGAGTAATTTGTAAATCAGTGTGTAGTGTGTAATCAACTTTTGCATGCCAACCCCAAGTCAGCTTTTATCAATCATTTCTCTCCTATATTTATTCTTTTTACATTTAGTAGACCTACAGATGGAAACATGGCACCTTACTGATTGTTTTATGCATGCATATTTAAAAGCAACCCACACATATACTGTCTGGTAAAAAAGCTGAATGATTTCACAACAGTTGAGCTTGGTGTTTTTTTTAGCAAATGCTACTTAAAACACTGCAAATGGAGAGCTGTGCTTTAATACTAATGTAGTTCTTGTTTAAAGGCAGCAGGATGGTGACTGAAAGTTGGATTGACTAAAAATGAACTAAGATGAACTAAGTTAAACTTTTAGGGGGATCCGTTGGCAGAAATGGAATATAATATGCATAACAATGTTTTTTTTATCAGTGTATAATCACGTTTTTAGTAGTTTAGAATGACCACTACATAAGGCAGGGTCCTCTTAAAAGAGTCATGTTTCTACAGTAGCCCAAAATAGATCATCTGGCATCTTTCTTGGCTAGGATATACCGGACCCAATAGCTGAACATTAGAAGATACAAAAGCAGTATTGACTGTCATATTATTGTACTGCATTGTATTAGCAGGATTATGAGTTTATCGCAATATTTTCCTATTGCACTGTATGAAACATGCTTTTGTCAGTAAGAGATAACCTGAAGGTTAACAAACAATATGAACAACACATTTATGACAAGTAAGGTTTCATTTTCAATTTCAAGCCCCTGATTCTTCTTGCCACTGAGAAGATATCAAACCACTGTCACATAAACTTCAAACCTCCTTTAGAAGAGACATTCCTTTCATAATTTCAAAGCCACTTTCATATCCCTACCTGTCATAAACACTCAATAGCATCTCCTATATTTCAAAGCGTTCCCCTGTGCCCAGCCGTCTGCCTTCTAAATGTTTCTATAGTCACAAAGCCCATAGTTAGTCACTTTCTTTGAATGCAGACTCCACATGCAGAGAGTAGCAATTAACCATAATTATCCCCTGATGCTCTGTCTATAGCATCCACTCTTTCTACCACCCTCCATTCCCCCTATTTCTGTCTGGGTCTCTGAGGGGAAAGGGGGGTGATTTGTTTGCATTCTGTGGTATTTACATGATAACTCCCCTGAGTATCATTCATTCTTAGTGCTGAGTAGCAATAGATACTGTGAAGGAACTATTACCTTACATTATATACAAATATAATATATTCTGATGAGATTACAGACAGAGACTTGTTCTGTAGCTATTTTCCATAACATAGAAAATATATCCCTAAAGATTTTGAAGGGCCGAAAATATATTTCCTATTTACCTAGCCTTATGTGGCTTGCGTATGATTTGAACAAAACAGACTTGCAATATGATAAGCTAAACATATTATGTGTGTCCAATTGATGTACATTAAATTAATCTTATTTTCATATAATTGATATAGATCACATGACATGCAACAGACTGGTTGCTCCTCTTAAAACTTTTAGAATTGTTCTTTACATTTACATTGGAGTTATTCAATCAAAGTCTTATCTACACTGACCCTCAGCGATAAAGACTTTAGTGGCTTTGCAGCAACAGCATTCTTATGAGACACTCAGCTGTGACACGGCACCTCTCCAACACCAGGTAAACTACTATAAGGTTAGATACATAATTGAAGTACTCACATTTGAAAGGTTGAAAGAGTATTTTATGAATGCAAACTGTTCACTAAAAGTATTGAATTGCTTTACTATTATGAAATCAGTGTGTTATTTTAGAAGTGTGTCTTCCAAGCACATTCAATCTAATCGTTTTTTTGAATGCATCATCAGTGTCAGGCCAAAACAGAAGTCCAATAATGTATTCGGGTAACTGCAAGAGACCTGCTAGGAGAGAAATCGAAACAGGACCTCACTTGGAGTTGACAAGGTAGTAGACTAAACTTAAACATGCTCCAAGTAGACATTAAAATGTAAACATTTGTGTCACTGTAGCATTACTGTGGCAGTCGTTGAGTGTTACAGTGACAGGGAACATCTGGTAAGACATTAACTAAGCATCATCAGTGGCTTTAACACTATAACCTATTATTTTAGAATGAAGTGACACAAATAGTAAAACCAGGTGGATAAAGTTGTGTAAATGTAAATGAACAAGTCGACTGAAAGGCTAGATACAGTAGCTTTTATTAATTGGATTTAACAGATTCAGACCTGTAATTAAATGTTGTCATCAGAAGTTAAAAAAACAAACATTTCGTTTTACTCAATACAACAGTTTAATCATATTTTGGTTTGCCTAAAATTGGGTGTCTAATTTAACGATTTCATTATTTTTACGAGTGGCAAGTTTTATTTTCTACATTCAGTTTTGCAGGCTTTGATAAGAATTGGTGAAACATTTGTATTTTTTGTAAAGGGCTAAATGTAAGGATATCAGCTTGATGTCCTGCCACAGACAGCATTATATTGTACATTGGTTGAAATACGGTGCTATATTTACCATAAACCCAGATACAGACCCTCTCCAGGTTTCTGCAGGCGCTGCCTTCTTTTCTTTGTATATGTTGTGGGATTATTTTTGGACCAATAGGCTCATAAGCTGCCTGACTCCACCATCTCTTTACCCAAAATAAATGTCCTCTCCATACTAAACTCCAGAGAATCAGAAAAGGGACATGCTTAAAGTACCATAGCCATGTTTTACCTCTGTTTAGCGGTAATGTGCGGCCTATGAGTTTGCATTCAATGCTGCCAAAAGAAGAAAATTGTATAGTACTTTCTCATAAGGAACTATATGGGTGAGCTTTGATCCACTAGAATGAGAAGGAGCGGCTGTTGTGTGATCATTATCGAAAACCATCAACTAAGCTGCTGCATATAGCAATTATCAGGAATTGTAAGGAACACAGGGCAGTTTCTACGCCTATATATAACTATATGAAAGCCCTAAGGAATATATAGAATCTCGTTCTCAGATGTAAAAAAAAACTCAGCGTATTTCTTTGATGGGAAGTTAAAATAATGAAAAAAGGATAGGGGTCACGGAGCAGCAGGAATGCTAAAAATATCAGAAATCTGAGAGTAACGAACCAAATGAATGAGCATTTAATGCAATAAAATGTAGTATCAACAATTTTAAACTCAGAAGTTGTCATTTATTGTACAGGGTTCACATTTTCACCATCTTATCTTATCTTATCTTATTTTCAATTACTTTTCCATGACTTCTCCATGACCTTTACCTAATTTCCCTTGACCAAAAAAATTACTCTCTCAGCGATACCACTGAAAATGGTTTATTTTAACATGGAACAGGAAAATAAGGTATAAAACATGTTGTGCCTATCTAAAAAAATCAAATAGTAGGCTTACTAGCTTCTACAGGCTAAAGCAACTAAAATCTCTCACCAGCAAAACACCTCGTCAGTTAAATGTCATTTTACGTTTCATTACTATACGATACAGTATTTATTATCATTATAGTATTACTATTTCGGCGATTAGATAAAATATAAATTATATTTATACACACCCTCATGTGAGGGTCCAAGGACAGAGGGTGTCGTTTTTCTCATACTGATATTCTGAACAAACTGTGCTGTTGTATTTGCTGTAAAGTGTCTTTACTGTAGGGTATTTTTATTATATGTACAGCACTTTGGCTCGACCAAAAATAGTTTAAAAATGTGCTATATAAATAAAACTTGATTTGATTTGATTTGATGCAACTTTAGTTACATTTCCATGACTTTGGGAAAAATATTGTTTTCCATAACTTTTCCAGGGCCTGGAATTAGCATTTTGAATTTCCATGACTTTTCCAGGTTTTTAATGACCGTAAGAACCCTTATTGTACCTGAATGCCTAGTTTGGAGCCATGTTCCTCCTTCTGTAAACACTGTAGCTTCACTACACTGTTATTTTCACTTTCTGTAATAAATCAGAAAGTCCAGGAAATGCTCTCTCACTGTGGCATTTCTGGGTTTTTTATTTTTGCTTTCTTGACACAGTGGATCGAGTGTTTTTTGGAAAACACACTGTTTGGTTCTGGCCTCCTAGTGCTCTGAAAGCAAATGCCACATGTTGTAAAAAGAGACACCCCAAGAGACATCTGCGGTGTG